CTCCTGGCACACACCCAACAATCTATGTACCTTGACGAATGCTCTAGCATTTACTAGATATAGGGTAGTATGGTATATAAAAAGAGGGTGACCACGTGACATAACAGTGTGTGTGTAGACAGTGAGTAATTGATCTGCAGTCAGAGAGTATTATTGAGCACGTTCATTGTTATAGCGTTTGTTTTAGCGCGATTGTTGAAATTAAGTGTATCGTAAAGTTATATTCGGAAAGAATAAACCAGTTTTATTAAGTAAGGACTTGTGTCGCTAAAGTTTCGTTAACGAAGTTACGGAAAATTAATTAACAAAGGGAGACCTAACAATACATATAGATATTCTACAGCTATGCACTTCATTACACCTTTTTCTTAACATTTTATAGCTGAAATGAAGTTGAAGAAACAAAAAGAAAATTTGAAAATGCAGATATTTTATGTTGAATTTTGTTCAAAAAGTTAAGTAGTTTAAATGGTCAAACTCAAAGCTAGTCGAGTGCTGTTTGCACTAGCCATCCCAAATTTTGATGTGATAGACTAGAGTAGAAGAAAGACAGTTAATCAACACCACTCACTTTCAGCTCTTCAGATACTCTTTTTACCAAGGAATAGTAGGTTTTACCGTGGTATTATAACACCTCTATGGTTTAAAGGGCAATTGTGTTTGATGACATGAATCGAATCCGCGACCCTCACCCATTGCAAGTTGAGTGCCATAACAATCAGGCCATTCCGTTTCCAGACATAATTGTTCAGCTGATTAGATAAAATTATAATACATTTGAAATGATGTAAATAAATATTTGGGAGGAACAATTGAAAATTGTTTATTTTAGTTTTCCTAAAACTGCAAAAATACATATATAACTAATGTGCTTCAATTTTGGAGTAGTTAAGCATACGAACCAGAAAGCCTCGAACTTGCATTCCTGATAACAGCTTCGGGCATCCAATCGCTATTAATAGTAATGCAGTTTCCATACGTGGTGGTATAGGACTTGTAAATTGGACTACGTAAGAATGAAAAAATAAAAAGATAAGTTAACTTTCAAATCACACCTTGTTCGAAACACTCTAAATATTTAATGTTATGTTTATTTTGTTTTTGGTAAGCACAAAGCTACATAATTGAAAATCTGTGCTCTTCTCACCACAGACTGTAAGCAAGGTATAATCCCCACCAACAGACGGGCAGAGAAGAGAAACTTTTGTTGGGATAAGGCTAAGAGTGTTCTGGAAGAAACTTTTTCAAATATTCAAGATAGGTATATTCCTTTTAGACAAAAACTGTGGCTGCAAATAAAAAAAACAAGATCGGCTTACAAATATATAAATGACAAAATTAAAATTTAAAGATCTGTTTGTCTGGTTTAAATTCACAGCAATGATGGGAGATTTGAAAGAATATAGAAGATGTAGAGAGTCGGTCAAACAAGGAGTTATGAAATAAAAACTATATTAGAAAAAAGGTTGGCTGAAAATGTCAAAATAAATAGTAAGAATTTCTTCAAATATATTAAGAGTAAGTAAAATGTTAGGATGATAGTACGGCCTTTGAAGAACAACAGCGGAAGGTTAATGTTTGATGATTATAGGATGGCTAAGTTATTAAATTCTACTGTTTCTTCAGTTTTTACTAATGAAGATTTAACCAATATTCCTCAAACTGGACAGTTGCTAGATGGAAACAAAGTTGAACAAGATGATCACATTATTCATATTGTTACGTCTCTATTTGTTAATTGATTTCCCGTAAATTCGTTCCAACGAAACTTTAGCGACACAAGTCCTTACTTAATAAAACTGGTTTATTCTTTCCGAATAAAACTTTACCGATACACTTATTTTCAACAGTCGCTCTGTAACAAACGTTTTAACAACGAACGTTAACTTCAACAATACTTCCTGACTGCAGTTCAATTACTCACTACCTACACACAACTTATATTGTCCAGTCACGTTGTCACCCTCTTATATATACCAGACTATCCTATATCTAGTAATCTCCCGACAATTCCCGAAGGTTCGAGAGAACGAGTCAAGTGACCCCGCTGACGCAACAATATTAATTCTGAACTTGTTAAGAAAATAATGGAAAGTTTAAAGAATAATAAAGCGTGGGCCAGATAACATTTACCAAACTGTTTTGAAAGAGGTTAAGGATTGGGTATGTGAACCACTTGATATTATTTCTTCTCAGTCCTTCAATACTGGACAGGTGCCAGAAGACTGGAAGTTAGCTAATGGTACTCCTATTTTTAAGAGAGGCAATGAAAGTTGTCCTGATAATCATAAGCCTATTAGTCTTGCATCAATGGTGGGAAAAGTTTTTGAAAGTCTGATAAAAAAAGCTTTGCCATATCATTTAACAAAGTTTCAAATTTTGTTGGATAGTCGATATGGTTTTACTGGAGGAAAATCATGTCTTCCTAATCTTTTGACATTCTTTGAAAGGATACTGGTTATGCAGGTGAGGGTACAGGTGTAGATGTGGAATATCTGTATTTTCAAAAAGCATTTGACAAGGTGCCACATAAAAGTTTATTAAAAACGTTTTATCTAAAGGTATGAGGAATAAATTGGCTCGTTGGATAGAAAACTTGTTAGGTGGAAGAAAGCAGGGGGTTGTTATAAATAGAGTTCAGTCAAACTGGACAACAAACGGGATACACCAAGGCTCAGTGTTAGGAACTTTGCTCTATTTGATACATCAGTTATATCGATTAAAGAATGGTCAATAGATCATTTAGATTTGCTGAGAACACTAAAGTTTTGGGTGTAGCTGCTTGTGAGAAAGATTCTCTGACTTACAAAACATTCTAGATTATTTGGCCAGTTGGGCAAATAAATGGCAGATGGCTTTTAATTAGAATATATGCAAAGCAGTCATGTTATCATAATTTGAATTATGAGTATAATATTGATGGAAATACTTTTGATAATGTTTTGAAAGAAAAAGATCTTGATATTCGGGTCAATAATTCTCTTAAGCCATCCAAGCAATGACCTGTTGCTAGTGGCAGGGTAAATAGGATCTAAACCAAAAAAATCCCAGATGTAAAAAAAAAAGTTCAGCCAACAACAACAAAAGACAACATCTAAAATATGTGAAATCAAAATTGGTTGCCAAGCCAATTTAGTAATGCTGTTGATGACATAGAAAATTTTAATAATGAGAATTAAGGTGAACATTGTATAACAGACTCCTAAATGAAACATGGAGGATGGCAACACAACATTTGCTTATCCACTTTATTGCTTCTGTATTCTGAACTACAGATATGGCAATGTTTTACTGCAATGCTATGATAGCTGGTAACTTCTGTAGCAGATCCATCCTAAGATACCACTACCAGTGCCTGATTCTTCATCAGAGATGATTTTTGTTCTATGAGAAGTAGCAACTATAACAATATAGATTTACATTTTTCTGATGATCTCAAACTTATATCCAATATTCAAGATGATATCAATGTTATATAAATGGAGTGGAATTTTCAGTCAGAGACTTGACTAAAGGTTCAAATGAAATGATGGCACTACCAGTGTCCACCAAACTCAACTTAGATCTAGTATCTTGACAGGATACTCTAAGTGCCACTCAGTCCACAATGAACTGAGACACAAGCAAGCTGCTACACCTGTATATGTTAGTGGCTAGAATCATCCCATGTTCCACCAGTTTAGGATACTCAGACCAGTGGTAACCAATGCATGGTATCGACCTTCTTGTGTTTGTTTGTCCATAGTTGGAAAGAAACTTTATGTTATTTTTGATCTATAATAGGATATGGGCAGTTTCTTTTCTAATGTACAATATCACATAATTAAAGCAGAAGCTTCCTCCTTCTTGTGCAGAGTGTCACCTTTTCAAATCTAACTGTTGTAACAGCAGTGCTGTCATGATAACTAGATGTGCATACCCACTGGTATCCAATGCAGCTGCATCAAAAGTTTTAGATGATTTACACTAATAGCTTACATAAACAAAAAAGTAAAATTTTAGGTCAGTAGTGTTGAAGATATTCTAAAATTTATATTCTTACAAAAGGAATTGCAAGCTTGTAACAAAATTCACACATAACTAACAAACTTCAGGTTTTGATCAAAT